TATATATATAATCACTGCATGCAAAATTAAAAAATAACCAAACAGGTAAAAACTTACCTCTGTCTCTGCCGCTCGTTCCCGTCTGAAGATCTGTTGCTTTCCGAGCGTCCGTGCAGGAGGATAAGTGCTGGTGCATACACAGTAGAGATCACCGGCGGGAAGAAGAGGAGAGACTTGCTATAAGTCAATGCACGTAGTCGTGAACATGCACTTAGGACAGACACTGTGGGACAGGAAGAAACATCATCAGGATCAGAGACCGGCACCAGCGCTGGAGGGGTTGCTGAAAACAAGTGGAAGGAAGAAGATATTCGGATCAAGAGGCATTTGAGGTAAGTATGCACTTAGGACAGACACTGTGGGACAGGAAGAAACATCATCAGGATCAGAGACCGGCACCAGCGCTGGAGGGGTTGCTGAAAACAAGTGGAAGGAAGAAGATATTCGGATCAAGAGGCATTTAAGGTAAGTCCTTAAAGCAACATGGGGGGGGGGGGAGTTGTGACTTTAATGTCACCTTAAGTGACAAATTAAAGCATAACTATGAGGTGAGTGATTTCCACTCATCCTCATAGTTAGAGCCGACCTGTGACAAAGAAGCTGTCCCAAGTCGGCTCTATTGATCGGGAAGTGAGCAGAAACATGCAGCCGATCCGCTCACTTCCCGATCATCTCCCTGCAGTGAGCGGTGACTGTCGGTCACCACTCCACACAGGGATTCCCCCCTCTCCGATCCTTCAGCGCTGAGTGGAGGAACAAACGGGGGAGGAGGCATGCACAGTTAGCTCTGCCTCTAGATAGGCAGAGCCAGCTGTCACTCACGCAGCTGGGTGGATCTCGACAGTAATGTTGGGATCTGTCCCGGCTGCGGCGCTCACAGTATATCGCTGGCAATACCCCGCGATATACTGGGCCTTGGGTCACGGGAGGACGCTAGTATATGCCCTCCTGTGACCCTAAAGAGAGCTATGGGGAAAAACCACTTACCCTATAGTTCTCTTTAAAGGGTTCATTTACACCACCTGCTTGGGCTACATTGCTCAACACAGTCACCGTGCGAGGACAAGACAAATAGCCTTGTTTTAATTGTTCCAATTCACACTACTTGTATCTGGTGTGTTGCAAACAGGCAGCACATCACATGTCCTAGTTACATGTCTAGTCAGATGTGCCAGAGTTACAGATAGTAAATGGGGAGCTGATAATCTGCCCTTAGTATACATGGCCACTGCCGGAAGACTGGGAAATAAAAATGAAATAAAGAATACAAAGCCGGCAATTATCTAGAAGTATGTGTTTGTAGATTGTCATTACTAAACATTTCTAAAGGTGTGTTTGTTGTTATTTTAAAGATATGGGTACGGTCCAATTTTAACTGTCAGTCAGCTTGCAAGACCAAGATTGGCAGCATACAATAAGCTATCAACACATTCAGGCGGGGGATGAGTTGATGGGGACATTGCACAGCTTCATGGAACAGAAGATGCAAGAAGAAAAGGCAGCATAGAGGAATTCCCGCTGTTTCCTTGCCAGTTCATTGGTTGCCGGTTCTGTTTGTTCGAAGATTTTCAAACCGGCTTCTTTGATCAGCTGATCTGGCCGAGAGGGTGCCCAACAGCGACAAGAACTGGCCAAAATTTGCATAATTTATGGCCTGCTCGGTTTTAGGGATGGGCTAGAAGTCAGGGACACTCTGGGACTCAACTGAAAACCACCAATGTTGGTCTCCTGGCTCCAGAAAGTACTACTTCAAGAAATCCAGAAACCCAGCAGGTCAAACAGTTATTCAGACTCCTAACATCTGGATTGATTAGCATATGAATGTAAAACTTTAAAATGCAGGTAACATTTAAAAGCAGAAACTTGACAAGACCCTCTCAAAAAGCAAAATATCAGTTTCCAGCACTCATCCAACTTGTGCAGCTGAAAAATAAACGTATACTTTATGTATTTTTTTACAGGGTCTTGAAGAGACATCAAAAAAGAATTTTGGAGGAGGGAACACTGCTTGGGAAGAAAAAACTTTATCAAAATATGAGTCTAGGTATTGAAACATTAACCTTTATTATTATTTATTATTATTATTGCAGAAGGGTTCAAACCTATTCAGTTTAGTAAAAAAAAATGGATAAATTGAACAGAATTTTGCACAACCTGGAGATCTAAAAATGTTTTATATATTTTATTACTTTGTTTGAATAGTTGCAGTATTTTACTAATTCCAACGTTTTTCTTACAGTGAGATACGCCTAGTGGAGATTATAGAAAGACTTTGTGACAGCACTGACTTTGAGTGCAATCTTATGGTAGAGGAACATGAAGAACAGATTGAAAAATGGTGGTTCAAGATGTAAGCTTTGATTTTTTTTTTTTTTGGGGGGTATATCATGAATTTAGTGGTTTTTCATTTGTTTGAATGCCTGGGCACAGGTGGACTTAGTGGTAGATTAGGTGATATAATGATCATTTTAATGAATGGCCATAGTTTAGAAATCAATTAAAATAAATGGACAGTTTGATCAAAACAAAATTGTTATATTAAAAAGGCATTATTGGTCCTGGTGGAAAATCCTGTCAAATCTCTGACCAAATCAATTTTTTTCTTGTGTCAAACAAGCGATTTCAGTCTAAAGATCGTTTGTAACTAATCTATTAATCAATTGTTTATGGGGTCTATTAATAAATATTTCTCTCCCGTTCATTGAAGGACACAGGCAACAGATCGTAGATCTTTTGTAAGGCCGCTACTTGGTCTTCTGTTCACACCTTTGTTAAGTTCTACAAGGTGGACGTGTTAGCATTGCCAGATGCTGGTTTGGGGCGCAAAGTGTTGCAGGCGGCGCTTTGAGGGGCCTTTTGGGTGTTTTATTGTTGCCCATCCCTCCAGTGTGTTACTGCTTGGTGACGTCCCTACCATTCAGGATCTACGATCTGTTGCCTGTGTCCTTCAATGAACGGGAGAGAAAATAGGATTTTGTACTCACCGTAAAATCCTTTTCTCTCCGTTCATTGAAGGACACAGGCCCCGCCCTCTTTATGGGGTGTACACTCCTAACTGCTTGTTACTAAACTGGAGACTTGTCAGCAGGTGGGGGGTTTGGCCACCGGCAGGGGCCGCCCCTAGGCTGTAATTGGTCTTTAGTTTTGTGCCTAGCGTCCTTCTCCTGCAGGTGGCGATATTACCCTACCATTCAGGATCTACGATCTGTTGCCTGTGTCCTTCAATGAACGGAGAGAAAAGGATTTTACGGTGAGTACAAAATCCTATTTTTCACACAAGATGCACACAGCTATTATACAAAATTCACACAATTTTCTAATTGGATTCAGTTGGAAAAATGTGGAAAACCTGGGCGAAAGTTGTGTAAAAACAATAATATACCCCTATGACAGAATGAGACCCATTTTCTACAAAGGTTTGTGTGTGATGTGCAGATTATTCTCCCACTCATTATTATTGTGTTGTTATCAAATAAGCAGACTGGAAAATCTGATAATATAGTGAGTACATTGGTTTGGTAACTCTACAGCCATTTCTATATATCCTTCATATTATCCAGAAGCCGCTTTGACTCTGAACATTAATATAATAATGGTTTATTCCTATGCATCTATGTAAAAACAAACATGAATTGCCTTGGCTGCACATTTTTGATTATTTTTGTAAAAATCAACGTTACCTTTTTACAGTCTAACTTCCTTTCCCCTTCTTTTACCATTGGCTGGAATAATTTTTTTTTCTATAAGGCAACCTCAGCCTGTAGAAAAATAATCATGAGAATTGGGAAAGGAGAGATGATGTAATTGTATCCAGGTAGAACCAAACACATAGTTTTCTTTTAAGGTAAAGTGGATTTTTTACACCAGGTTTTCACAGTTGCTTTCTCAGGATTGCTAGAGAGCTGTTATAGGAGAGAGGGAGGTATAATCAGCTTACACATGTCTGCTAGATTGCATAGCAAGAGAAATGGCTTGGTTTACTTTAAATACATTTAATAGTTACTGCACAGGTATGCAAATTAAGAATTCTGATTTCACTTGTGATGTGACTTATTTGTTTGTCTTCTGTGATGCTCATTCTTTATATATTCCTTTTGAGAATCTATTAGGAAGCCAGATACAGTGTCAGCAACTCCTACAGGATTTTGCAAATGAATGTTGAAAGAATGGACTCCATTTTTTCTTCAATATGCATACTGCATACTTGTTCCACATTAGTGACTCGGACCCTGCTGAAACCAGTTGGTCAGTGTTCCAGCCAGACAACTAGCATCTACAGAGAACATTGGCAATGGCAACCCCATGTGTCTCTTGGGAAAGGTTTACCTTAACCACTTTAGGACTTCTGTACATATCTATATGTCCTGGTCCTAAAGTGATCAAACCTGCTTCAGCCTTGAACTTGGTACAGTTCCCCTGACGCATATCTCAGACTCAGGCTTGTTCTGCCTGATGAAGGGGATCCTACGTGACCCCCGAAACGTCGCATCAAGTATGTTTTGCACGTACGTCAATAGACGTATTCTATCTGCTATTGGAGTGCCAGTGTACATATTCTTTCATATCCCTGAGACGGTGGCCATCCATCAACTACCGTGCACCCATCTTATCTGAATGGATGAGCGGTCAGGAGTACAATGAGTACATGGACTGTCTCAGGCTCAACTGTCCCTCATGTTGGCCCAGGACTGGCATGGTGGGTGCACATATCCAGTTGCTTATTTCCCTTCTGGTTACTAAACCCGAAAGCAACCAGGCTTTTGTCACTTCTGGTTTCAGGCTGTCATTTCTCAAGCTACTATGGCTGGAGAAGAAGCTGGTTAAGCATGATCTGTGCTTCAGTGGGGTCAATAGGTGACGTTAGGGGTTTAATAGACCTCTGATGTCTCCATAAAGAAAAAAAAACTAAAGGAAAAGCTCTCCACCCCCATGTACATACACATACAAATGCAAACAAGCTTTGGGTGCACCCATGTGCAAAAGCAACAAATGCACCACACACATTACATTTTGCTACAAACGTTGGTGTAAAAGCAATAATTCTAGGGCCATTACACACTGTTAACTCTAAACTGATGACTAGTAAAGGTTTTTTTTTTTTTTTAAATGCCTATGGGCAATTTTGGCCACAGTAGTTTTGTGCATTTCACAGGCACGTTCACCACCCCATCTTTTATATTTTACCAAAATTGTTGTATGCACTACATTCAGTTTAGTGTATTTTTTCCTAATATCCTTGTGATAAACATTTACATAAATATTGTGTGACATAAAAGTAGTATTTTTTATTTTTTTTAATTCGACGGGGCCTCTGCTTATAGAAAATATATCATTGTTAGGGCATTTGAAACAGTTTTGCCAAAAATTCAGATTTTATAATATGTGCAAAAAAATTGCTCCAGTCCCAAAGTGATTATGAACATGACAATGTATCTAACCTTTTCCCTGCCTATCCTGCACAAAAAGAGCTTTGCATGGTGTTCTATTACAATGTGTTATATCACTGCAATTTTAAGAATTACTGTTATTATTGATAGTTACTTAACTGCGTTTTAATTGCCATATTTTTACAGGCAGAAGAAGTATCCAGATTTATTGAAATGGTTTTGCATTGAGACTATAAAAGTCTGTTGTCCTTCTGGAACATACGGACCTGACTGCTTAGGTAAAGGAAAGGTAGAGCATGACAGAATCAGTTGAATATATTTCAGTATACACAACAAGCTTTGTAAGAACAAATACGTGCTTCCTTCAATTTATTATAATAAAAATCATAAGAATGTGCTTGTGTAATATTATAGGGCCACCTAATATTTGTATGTCTCTTATGGACTCCAGAGCTGAGATATTTGCTCACTGTTTGTGGCAGTTAAGCAGGTGTGCCCATCACAGTTGATTTTAATTTGTTTTATAACATGATTTTATCACGGTGCAAGTATCT